ACCTGATATTATATTACCAGCATATGAATATAATCATTATTTTATAATTATTTATTTATTTATTTGTACAATATGTAATTGGTTATTTATGGGTATTTTAACAGCATCTATTTATAATTCATATAAATCACATTTAGGTGAATTTGTTGTTAAAACAGTTGTAAAACGTAAAGAAAAATTAGATGAAGCATATCATTTAATATCAATTATAACTTCAAATAAAAATTTAGGTATTAATCAAAATATATTTTTACAATTAATGCATATTATTAAACCAAATTATAGTAATGATTTATTAAAAATAATTTTTTATTTATTAAATAAAAATAAATCTGGTTATTTATTAAAACATGAATTTGAACGTTTATCAGAATATATACAAGTAAAATTTGAAGAGATTGAATTAAATCAATTCTATTTTAATACATATATTTCAAAATTTTATTATATATATACATCATATAAATTTCAATTATTTATTTATTATATAAATCATAATATTACAAAATTATTATTTACTATATTCATTATTATTAATGCAATATGTATTGTTATATTTCGTTCAAATTCAAAACTTTTAGAAATTATTGAATGGACATTTACAATATTATTTATATGTGAATTAATTATTAATTATTTAATATGTGGTGGAGTTAATTTTTTTAATGATGGTTGGAATTTATTTGATATAATTATTATATTTAGTGCATTTATTGGACAAATTATTCAATTTATATTATATTCAATTAATATTTATTTATCACATGATATTATACAAATATTTTTATTATTAAGATTAGTTCGTTTATTAAAATTATTTAGTGTAATAAAACAATTTCGTATAGTTATTAATTGTATTTTAACTATTTTACCATCATTAACTGCTTATACAACTATATTATTAATATTATTTTATATATTTTCATGTATTGCTATGGAATTATTTGCTTATGTTTATGAACCACCATTAAATTATAATTATACATTAAATACAACTTGTAATAATAAATATTTATTTAATAGTGAATTTGTTAAATGGCATTATTGTACATTTAATTTTAATAGTCCTTTAGATTCATTTTTATTATTATTAATTATTATAGTTGGTAATAATTGGCATATATTTACTGACGGTTATGTCATAGTTACAACAAGATGGAGTAAATTATTTTTTATTATTATTCATTGGATATGTGTTCTACTTGTATTAAATGTTGTATTAGCTTTTATTATTGAAGCATTTCTAATTGAATATGATTCACAACAAAGTAAATTTGAATTATATATTAATGAACGATTAAATGATTTAGAAATGAATGCTGAAAATGAATTAAAAAAACGTGGATTAGAAAATTTTCGTAAACCTGGATTTATTATGTCTAAAAAATTATTAGATGAAGCTGGTATAACTGAACATAGTACAAAAAAAGTATTTTATTTAAAAACAGATAATACATCTATTGAAATATTAATGTTTAGAATGTTTGAAAAAGAAATTGAAGAATTAGTTGAGGATTTAACAAATAAGTTAACAGTACCTAAACTTAAATCACATGATCCACTTTCGCATATATAGTTTATTAACTTTAATGATTGAAAAAAAAAAGAAATCATACAATAATAATCAAAAATTAATATGATAAGTAAAGATGGATGCAAGTTACATCTTCATATCCAATAAAATTAATAATAAATTTGAGGATTTATTACTCTATCATAGTTTGCAATTTAACTTCAGTTGAAGACACTTGTATAATAACTAAAATATTTCATTTCTTAAATTGAAATATTCTAAGAATAACAATTCAAATATTTAAGTGATTGTAATGTTTACAGTTATTCGAGGAAGAAAATATCTAAACTCGAAATGTATGTTATGTGTTTTAGAATTTATATATATTATAAAATTCAAAACAATTCCTTCAGAACGTTGACGTTAATACTGATTATTAAAAAAAATATGTAATTAGTATTTTCCAGTTAATACAGTAGATTCTATGTTTATTTATTTACATTTAAATAGTTTAATGTATTAATGAAATATTTAGTTAGTAATATTCATTTTAAAATACTCTATAAAATAAGATGTGTGAAACATATATTGAAATAGTTATTGAATCTATTGTTATTCTTTTGATTAAATGTAATACATTTATTTAAAATAAATTTTGCCATATCATAAAAAATAATTCATTATATCCAACATTGATTTTAGTTTTGTATCTTTTACTTTCGCTCCTATAAATAATGACGAACCATAAAGACAAAGTTATGCTTCAAGAAACAAAATGTATTGGCAACCAGGAGTAAGACCTTTAGATTCAACAAACTTATCGTCTTATTCTTATTCAGCAGTAAGATATATTTTACTACCTAAATTTATTTACTAACTTATTATACCTTGACGTTATTCCCATCTTCTTTTCTTATAAAAAGTATCAAATCATTAACTTAACAGCCATAAAAGATTATTCTTTTTCTCAGACCAATATTTCGATGCTTTAAACGCTAGATGTGTGAAAATGTAATAAGTTTTCTTTCATATATTTCTATAACGTCAGTAGGTTTTCGAAAATAATAACACGGAGTTCCCTGAGTTTCCTTTAAGAAATATCCCCCTCATGGAAGTTGGATTCATGTAGACAGAATAACGTGATTATATAATTTAATTTAAACTCTCATTTTGAGTACAAACCTACAAATGTGGTGAACAAAAACACGAGTAGGAACAATCGAATGTATTTGAGCACAAAACTACAGGTCATCTCACTAAAATCTGAGAACAATACAGTAAATACTTAAATTACAAAATGTAAGTCAATCGTCTCAAACTTGACTGTTTCCTTTGCAAATATTAGTCCATCGTCTCAAATTTCATTGCTTGTGCATTTCATACCAATTGCTTTCTGTACCCGTTCTTTCCTTTTCGATCTACTGAAATACATTCCATTCGCGACGATCATCATATACTACTTGTGTGTATAGGAATAGCTCACATTACACAAGTCGTTACTAGAATTCAATGAAAAACATTTATCTCAGTCAAAGTAACAGATGTCATGGAAAGTCCTAAATAAAAGTTAAAGGACCTTAAAGAGTGGAATTTAGATTGTGGGGTTGAGAAATTGAATGAAAAGTATTCTAGTATTGTCAAGTTCCGCACTTACTAAGGAAAAAGTATAGCTAATGTAGGAAAAGTTCTAAACATGTCCCAGTAGTAATTAATTGTATATTAAATGGAAAATATTGAGCAGAGCTTTTTCTTTAATAACATTCTTAAACCTCTGGCTATAGAGTTACACTGTCACTTTCTGTTATTGCATGGTTTAGAACAATACGAATATGACACGGTATTTCAACTCCCTTGAATTAATAAATGACGTACCTAAAGGATTTTGTTATTTCCATCAACGTCAGTCATTTGAAAAACCTTAAACTTTTCCCAATTTCAATTAATATAAGTTTCTTTCAAACAAAATAAACTTTATTAAAAATGAATATTGTAAGACAAGATAGTAATCAGGTTTTAAGATATTTACAATCATAACCTAATCAGATATTATCTTATTACAAGGCTATTTTCACAGCTCATAAATTCTTATACGTGCATTAAAAGGATATAACATTGTTTAACCAATTATAAATGAATTAATCATTATCTAGAATGAAACTAAAATAGTCAAATAAATAACATCACTTGAAGACTATCACCTACTAGTACTACGTTTCTAAATAGCACAGAAACTTGACTACAAAAATGCAACGAGAACTAGTGAATAGTTCATAGTTTAAAAAGTTAGTGGTAAATATACGAAATTAATCTACAAAACTTGATTTTCCAGTTTGTTACGAAAGAATGACATTTCTATGATCTGTATTTTGCTGAACAATGTTTTTTATCCCAAGTTTGATGAAAGCTTCTGTGAAACAATGGTGGGGGCAATATCTGAGAAGACTGTTACATTTACTACTTAATTGTCACGGATATACAAATTTAGTAGAAAACATCTAATATTCGTCCTTTAACAATGATATATTTACCTGTGGGACAAAACTGAGAAAATTGTTCAACTCAACGAAGTGACGAACCACCCAAGTAGAAAGAGGAAAAACGTACTCAGCCCACCACAACTGAATTACCTTTCTTGCATAGAAAACTACAATACAATACATAGGAATACTTCAGAATCATCAACTAACACCATTAGTGGTCATACACACGGCGGTTGCATGTAAAAAAAATCTTAATAAACAGAGTTATTTGGCTTTAATTTTAAAATGTACGTATTCGTATGTAAATGGTGACTAGGTCACGGTTAGTTCACACACCGCAACTTTTAAATTAATGGTTTGGACATCAACCAGCTGAGATGAAAGACTCAAGCACCAACTGATCTTTAGCGTTTGAGATACAATTATTGTTGTTTTAGGTTAGTATTTATTTATTCGAATCCATTAACATTTGCTACTTACTTTGCATTCTGATTTAACTTCTGCCTAAAAATTAACAACTTGTAGTCCTCTTGAAGTATAACACATATGTAAAACTGTGTGCAGTGATTCTTAAGAAAACCTAAAATAAATGTGAAGTGCAAAAAACCTGGCTATCAGGCCAAAGCATTCTACATATGAGAAGAACTCAGGATGTAAACCAACGAAATAAAAAAAAATATTAAACTGTAATTTTTTATTGTATCTACAGGAAAGAACAGGTAAATTTATGTTATATTCATAGATATCGGTATTGACAAAATGTAATAGATATCGTAAATTAAGTAAGAATAACATTCAAGTCAAAATATACAGTGTAAAGCTCCAGATACGAAAACTTAAAGTTTGAAGGTTTCCCCAAAAAAGTATAATTTCATATGCAGTTTCAAGCAAATGTAAATCATTATTCATCATAATACCATCAAAATTAATGATAAAATTAGCTGACACATTAACGGATATGATCCAGTTGTAGAAGAAGAATGTTCACGAATTTAAACACTATTCATTCATTTATTCTCCAGAATAGTAAGACGTTGTTCCAAAAGTGAAACGGTCTATGAAGTAAAGAAAAAAAACTAATATTGCTTTTGGTTTTACATTGCCTCAAATAAAAATTTATGCACTATAAACAATGCTTTCCGAGAAATCCAGTGTAATAAATTTACAGATAAGTAAAATATATAAAGTAAGGATTCAACAGATATCGAATCACAAACAATTAGAAAAAAGGCTAAAGTGCAATGACTTCTGTGAGTTTAGAGGTCCAATATATTGATCAGTATTCACAAATACACAATTTAAGCTCGAAATTTCTCGACTTATAAACATCAAAGACGGTCGATTAACAGTAATTCTGAGTCACATTAGATTATTAACGAATGACCAACATTTTATTATGTTATGGTTGATACAATTCTACTTTTGTTGTTTCCCACAAACAGAAATCTATCACAAATTAAATATGAATGAAGATTGGTTTAAAAAAAAAAACATTCACAAATTAGGTATTTTCATAAAGTCAACGTGTAGTATGTTAGCTACAAGTAACAAAATAAACCGTTGGAAAGCAGAATTATTAGTTGGTGAGGAGTAATAAGTCGGAAAATCTGTTATTAATGTGTCTATAAAACCGTTATATTATAGGCATTTTATATTTCATGATCGAAGCAGCACTCACGGACCTCCCAATTGATGTTGGCGCACCGACAATTGAAGAAATCAGCATGGCTATCAGACAAATCAAGAGTGGCAAAGCAGCAGGACTAGACAGCATTCCAGCAGAGGCACTGAAAGCAGACGTAGCGGCAACTGCAAGGATACTCCAAACTCTCTTCAAAAAGATCTGGGATGAGGAACAGGTACCAAAAGACTGGAAAGAAGGACTTCTAGTCAAAATACCAAAGAAAGGCGATCTCAGCAACTGTGACAACTACAGGGGAATCACTCTTCTTTCAATACCGGGAAAAGTCTTCAACAGGGTATTGTTAAACAGGATGAAGGACTCCGTAGACGCCCAACTTCGAGACCAACAGGCAGGATTCCGTAAGGATAGATTGTGCACAGACCAAATCGCAACTCTACGGATCATTGTGGAACAATCAATTGAATGGAATTCATCACTCTATATCAACTTCATCGACTACGAAAAAGCATTTGATAGCGTGGACAGAACAACTCTATGGAAGCTTCTTCGACACTACAGCGTGCCTCAGAAGATAGTCAATATCATACAGAATTCTTATGATGGATTAAACTGCAAGATCGTTCATGGAGGACAGTTGACAAAGTCGTTCGAAGTAAAGACCGGTGTCAGGCAAGGTTGCTTACTCTCACTCTTTCTCTTTCTCCTGGTGATCGACTGGATCATGAAGACATCAACATCTGAAGGGAAGCACGGGATACAGTGGATAGCTAGGATGCAATTGGATGATCTAGACTTCGCAGATGATCTGGCTCTTCTATCGCATACGCAACAACAAATGCAGGAAAAGACAACCAGTGTAGCTGCAGCCTCAGCAGCAATAGGTCTCAATATACACAAAGGGAAAAGCAAGATTCTTCGATACAACACAGCATGCACCAATCCAATCACAATTGACGGAGAAGCTTTGGAAGATGTAAAAACCTTTACATATTTGGGCAGTATCATCGATGAACACGGTGGATCTGATGCAGATGTGAAGGCACGGATTGGCAAAGCAAGAGCAGCATATTTACAACTGAAGAATATCTGGAACTCAAAACAATTAGCAACCAACACCAAAGTCAGAATTTTCAATACAAATGTCAAGACAGTTCTACTGTATGGGGCGGAAACCTGGAAAACTACGAAATCCATCGTCCAAAAGATACAGGTGTTTATTAACAGTTGTCTACGCAAAATACTTCAGATCCGCTGGCCGGACACTATAAGCAACAACCTACTGTGAGAGAGAACAAATCAGATCCCAGTGGAGGAAGAAATCAGGAAGAAGCGCTGGAAGTGGATAGGACACACATTGAGGAAAACACCCAACTGCGTCACAAGACAAGCCCTCATATGGAATCCTCAAGGTCGAAGGAGGAGAGGAAGACCAAAGAATACATTACGCCGGGAAATGGAGACAGACATGAGAAAAATGAACAAGAATTGGATGGAACTAGAAAAGAAGGCCCAGGACAGAGTGGGTTGGAGAATGCTGGTCGGCGGCCTATGCTCCATTGGGATTAACAGGCGTAAGTAAGTAATATTTCATGATATATATTAACGGTTTATTTAGGCAATAATGAAATAGCCTAAGGGTTCAAAGAACAGAGTTCCTACAGCTGAAGAACATATGAAATTCAGAACAACTGCCGACCAATATCACAGAATCTTTAATACGAACGTCAAGACAGTTCTACTGTACGGAGCTGAAACATGTAATACTACTACAACAACCATAATCAAAACGGTACAAGTATTTGTAAGCAATTGTCTACGCAGGATACTCAATGTCCGTTGACCGGATATCATTAGCAATAGCCTACTATAAGAGGCGAAAAGCCAACCTCTAGATGAGGATGAAATTAGGAAAAGACGTCTCAAGTGGATAGGACATACACTGCGAAAATCACCAAACTGCATCACAAGGCGAGCGCTAATTTGGAATCCTGAAGGGAACAGGAAAAAAGGAAGACCAAGGAACACATCGAGCAGAGAATCGGAAGCATACATCAGAAGAATGAATAGAAACTGAAAACAAGTGTAAAGGATTGCCCAAGACAGAGTTGGATGGAGAATGCTGGTGAGCGGCCTATGCTCCTCCACGAGGAGTAACAAGCGTAAGTAAGTAAGTTAAGGATTCAACAAAACCTTATAAACGGTCAATCCAATTACTTATACTTACCATTACAACTATCTTAAGATTGTGACGCACATCCATGACACCAGTGTATCAATTGAGAACGCATTTTAGTTAATCGACTACATATCAATTACGGTGATTAGAAATTATGGACTGAGTACTTGTCAGTAAACAAAAATAATACTAAAATTTATTAAAAATATATAAACAACTTTCACACAAAATAATGAAAATCATCGATACTGATTGCCTTTCGCAAACGTTTTAGTTGAGGATTGCATTCCTCAACAAGTGAGTTTGAAATATTTTGTGAATCTCACTACAGTGGCTTTCATATTACGCATTATTCGCAGATGCTAAAACTAGATGGAACTGAAGAGAGGTAGTCAGTTTATGACATGTCACTGTAGTATGAAAGGTGGCATGCAGAATTGACGCCTATGGGTCTACCACAATTTTTGGTTTGTGATCCTACAGATAGTGCAACTCAATGGTTTGAGATGTTATCATATATTGTTCAAAACAGAAGCCAGTGATAATCCTGCTTTAGTTTTTTACTACATCTTTTATAAAAGTTTGGATTAGTACTCAAATAAAGCATCCTCTGAGTAGAAGGTAACATACGATAACGATTCTGAAAAAAATAGAGTGAGTGGTTAAGTACTATCTTCAATAAACTAAGTCATAAGTGCAGGATGAAACTTCTCCCACTTAAGTAGTATAAACCTGACATTTAACACTGTAAGGTGCGCAAAATAGGCGCTAACCAATCTGGTTTTTGCTATATTGATAGAACCTTTTTCAGTCATGCACCCGGTAACACTCATACAGCTATCTAGATTTACTAAATTTTTAATTGTTAGTTAAAAGTACTTGAGACTTCAGTTATATAAAGTATAAAAGAAATTACGAATTTCGATGGTAAAGTATGTAGAGCGTACAATTCTTAGCATTAAAACTCATTAGTTTTATAGGTAAATGGTTCCCCTCCTCGAAATCATGGAATAGCAACGACATACAAATCAGTATCGCTTACTGAACAATACTTTACAACTGAAAAACAAGACAGTTTATTAAAATCACCATGTAAAATTGATAGTACCTGAGTTAGAATATCTAGTTGTGAAACAATATGTTCAAGTGTTGTAGATAGTGGTGGTGGGACATTTTGGCGTTCACTTTCTAGACCACTTGCTGTTTTCAAATTCTGTATACAAATGGAAAATGATACGTCACGAGTTACTTCGTAGTTTATAACTTGTGGTTTAAATAATTATTAATGTTCAGATTATGTTAAAAATTGAGATTTAATTAGAATGATATGCAAGTAATCTCTGTATTATTTAATACTATCACTAACAAAACCAACAACAGTATTTAAACGAGCTTAGTGATGCAGGGTGTTCTGATTTGGGGACTTGTTGAGCGAATTGGTGTCCGAGAATACTAAGCAATAGGAATAGCTGGGCTACAACCGTAAGAGAGAAATTATAACACAAGGAAATCATATGAAATTATTGTTTAAAAAATGAAGAAAAAAATTAAGTTGATAACGATAAACATATCCACTTATCTTCTCTTTACTGAACGATAATTATGATGTGTCCTTTGATTTCTTCAATATTTTTCTGACAGTCGTTTGAAATACAGTTTCCTGGGTGTTGACGAATAACTATTTAGCATCAGAGTTCATGATAACAAGCACAACACATTATTTCCCAATTTTTGCAACTTTCTTAATTAAATTACTAACTTCTTATATGTGCTGATTTTTAAAAGACGAAAAATAGCCATACAGACTTCTCCAGATGTAAAAGTGTAACAAAATAATAATATATGATTTGATCTATACTTTCAAGTTGAAGCATTACTTACTTAAAGCATATTCTTGAATAATTATTGGTTATTGAATAATATCTCACTGGTATAATCATTTCTCACTGAAAGTAGTGTTTAGATGTTTACGAACATCTTGAATCGTGTTGTGAGATTGACTTACAAATTATGCGCTCAACTGCTCCCAATATAAAAGGCTATCAGCCAGCTTGTTCCAAAGTGAGAGATTAGATCAATTCACGCAGTGAAACCCAAGGAAGCTTATACTAATCTGGGCTATCTTTGGCACCTTCGTGATGTTAGTCTGGCTGTAAAGGGTCCAATACACAAGGCATCGGCGAGAACAGTTTTGCCCTATTTTTGTAAAACCTGACCTCTTCGAGTTGACGATGTTAAACGACTTTCTGTGTTTGGTCACCGTTGTTTCCGAAGGATTGACGACATCCAGTGACAACAACATGTCAGTAATGCACAGGTTCGACACCGTGTGTTCGCACACAGCGACGATAATTCAACTGGTGTCACCATCTTGAAATATCGAATTCCGTGGCTTGGATCCGTACTTCAAATGTTGTCCCATAGAATTTCATATTGTGTATTATTTGCAGACGCTGGGAACGGTTGGAAAGAGTGGAGAGATAGTCAATGTATGACATGGAAGAAAGCTGTATAGGACAGGCCTCTGTTGATCCTTCACGACTCCTTGGTCGGGGTCCTAGAGTTGGTGTGAGACATTGGCTAGAGACGTTATCAGACACGGTTCAGAATAGAAGACAGTGGCGATCCTGCTCTCACCTTATTTTACTTTCTTCATTAAAGTAAACATAACTTCTTTCGAGTTGTACTTTTCCCAACTGAACTGCTTCTATTATTATTATTATTATTATTATTATTATTATTATTATTATTTGACTCTCAAGCACTGATTCCTGTTGTTCTTTTTATCATACGCACTTTACATTCTCTATCTCTTCACAACCTTATTGTTATTGTGTGAGCATACGTATTTGGTGCCCTTTTGTACCAATGTTTTTGTTCAAATAAATAAACGGATAAATTAACTAACTGGTTGAGAATAAATTAAAAATGGTCAACTGTATAACAGTAGCCAATGGATCAAATGAAAGCTTATGATAAAAGGAATATGGATATATATAATCTAGTTATTCAATAATCATACAATAAGAATATATGCAATAATAGTCCATAAATAATTCCTGGTAGTTACTATTCATTTATTACGCGTTCGGGTATAACAGATATCATTGTTATTTATCATTGGTTTCTTAATACGTAAGAAAAGCCAAACTGCAATAAACTTCAGAACAATCGTCTTAAAATAGTAAATAATAAAAATAACAATAAATACTGATGCAAACTAGTTTTATTCATACATTTACCTAGTAAACTAAAGTTTGTTACGTGGGTCTCAATCATCAAACTACACGGAATGAATTAATTCAGTAGTCAAAGTTTTTTTTGGCTCGTTTGGATAAAACTTGCTTTATCGAAGAAGTAAACATAGTTTAATCATGAATCAGCTTTTTTCTAGCTAAGCAGAGATGAAACTGGGGCGAATTACTCATGACTTTATTATAATGAACACAGATCAGAAACATTCGCTAATAAGAACGACTCATTTTGGAAAATGAACTTACAGCTTGTAGAAAATTCATATTTGACGTTAATGGTAAAGTCATTGATGAGATGACACCAGAGTTAGTACGAAAAGTAGGCGGGAAATGACACTTGACGGAAGTAGTCGGGTTCTGTGCTCCACTGTTAGTAGTTTCATGAAAGTCGACAGGAACTTCAGAAGTAGCGAATGATGGTTTTTCTGCTTTTTCATGCACTTCACTTGACGTTACTTGAGAATCAGATTTAGGACATATTAGATGACTGTTAATTTGAATAGATTTGTCCCGAAATATGGAACCATCAGGATTGGAAGTTGTGTGAATTGGATGTGAACTATTGTCTGTAGTATTAGTAGTCATTCTAACACACCCATTCGTGCGCCATAAAAACACCTGAAATAAATTTTAAAAATCGTTTACAGGATCCTATGCTGATATGAAGTCGTGAAAAGCATTTAAATTACAGTTCACTAAGCAGTATTTAAATTATAAATAGAGAGAGTACCAGTCAGTCAGTCAGTAACAACGTGGAACTTCGTACGTACGTACACCAGTTCGAGTTGCCATACCACATTAGCACAGAGATAAAGTTATCGATTCAAATCCCATAGTGGTAGAGGTACTAAAAGTATAAGTAGTGATAGGGAACATTAGGGTTTGATAATGTTATTTAAGGAGTATAATCCAGTCCAATAGATTTGGAAAGAAAATAAAGGACATGAAGAATTCAGAAGATTAGAGTTTGAGAGAACACAAAGAGTGGATGCACCTGCACCATTGCAAACGATTTTCAGCCATGTCATTCAAGGTCTCTAACCATCGGTTGCTATCGTCTCGCAGTCCCCAACCAGGTAATCTACACCTACCAACATGACTCAGTTCACTTGTCAGTGACTTCATGGATTTGTTCCATGTTTTGGTCTGGCCGCCCCTAGCTTTCTTCTAACCTACTCCTACACCAGAAAACATCGCACGTCGGGGCAGTCGGTGGTCGGGTATGCGTAACACATGTCCCAGCCATCTCAACTAATTAAGTTTCACTACTTCATCAATTGATTTGCCATCCTTACCTAGTACCCGTTTCCTAACAACTGAGTTACTTACTCGGTGGTCCCAGGATATACGAGCAATGTTTCGAAGACACCTATGGTCAAATACTAGTAACCTACGAATATCATCGACTCTTACTGGCCATGTTTCACTGCCATAGAGTAGGACGTAACGAACTGCTGCGCAGTAAACACGTCCTTTGGTTGATAGAAGGATATCTCGCGTACGCCACAAATGATGCAAGTTGGCAAAAGCTAGTCGAGCCTTCTTTATCCGTGTTGAGATTTCGTCACACACCAGACCACAAGGGCTGATGAGACTCCCAAGATAAGTGAAGCGGTCGACACGCTCAATTACTTCACTCCCTATCGCTAGTTCGGGTGTCGATGCAACCCAATCCTGAAGCAACATTTTACATTTCGAGGGAGAAAATCGCATGCCGAACATGCCTTCATTGTTGCTTAGAGTGGTCAGCAGACTCTGCATTCTGTCAGCGTCTTCACCAAATAGAACTATGTCATCGGCATATTCTAAGTCAAAAAGTGAATTTCCCGGTAAAGTTCAAACCCTGGAAATTCAGATGTGGAAGGTGTTATCTCTAAAAGCACGTCAACGACAAAGCTAAACAAGAATGGAGAGAGTGGACAGCCCTGCCGAACACCACTTGAGGTAGTCAGTTCTGATGACAGTTCGCCATAAGCTCTCACTCGACCAGTTGTGTTCGAGTAGAGAGCCTTTATAAGGTTGATGTACTTCTTTGGTACTCCCTTCAGTGACAAACACTGCCATAGAACCTCACGATCAACAGAGTCAAATGCCGCCTTAAGGTCGAGAAATACTACCATTGTGGGGCGTCTGAATGTTCGAGGACCTGACGTAATGTGAATATTTGATCAATACAACCACGTCCAGGTCGAAAACCAGCCTAGTTTTCTCAACTCCACTCTTCACGAGCTTTAGTTAGGCGTCGAAGTAATATTGAAGCTAATATTTTAGACACTATATTAGTCAAACTAATTCCTCTGTGATTGTCACAAGAAGACTTTTGTCCTTTCTTATAGACTGGCACAATCAGTGATTGAGACCAGTCAGATGGGATTACGTCCAGTTGCCAGATTCTACCTAAGACGTCAGTCAATCTCGCTGCTAATACTGGACCGCCATCCTTAAAAATCTCAGGGATAAACCTGTCAGGGCCTGCTGCTCTCCCACGCTTCAGATTTCCTATAGCTTTTTCAACTTCGTAAAGAGTCGGAGGACTTACATCAACTTGCCATTCAGGTCGACTGGAGATCGTGGGAAACCGAAGTGTGGCTGAAGGCCAGTTGAACTGATCCCTAAAGTATTCTGCCCATCGATCCAATCTCCTGGATTGAGAATGAATAATATGTCCATCTTTCTCTGCGATTGTTTCGCTAACAGTTGGGTTTCTAATACCGGTACCAAGTGCAAAAAGATTACCACAAAACAGTATGAAACAGAAAAAAATGGTGCGATTGTATTGAATACGTTATTGAATACCACTTCAATAGCAAGGGCTTCATTGATCGGAAAAACAGGTAATAAATAAATTCCTACTAGCGTATTTCCATTCGCTTCCTTTAAAAACTGATTGTCAAGAAAACAAATGAATGTCCAACAGATACTGGATAAATTTAAGTATGGTAGCAAGGTTAGTATGATTTTTTAATCTACGGCTTACTTGTTCATCACTCCCACCAGATGCAAAATGATCACCAGATGCAGAAAATGCCGCTGCAGTAATAGGTCCCTGATGTCCCTGAAGTGTAAAAAGTGGACGACCCTCAAGAAGGTCAAATATTTTCAGTGTTGAGTCTTCAGATGCAGAGAGCAGAGCATGACCATTGGGATGACAAGCAACTTTATGTACGGGACCAGTATGAGCTAAAATCATATGAAATCCGCAAAAAGTAAATCCAAAAGCAAACAAATTAGAACGAAACAAATGAGAAATATTACATAAAGGACTAATGACCAAGATATTACATATTTGCGTCTCAGACACTTCTATGTGTAATTCTTTCTCAATTATTTAATCAATTAGTGTAATTTATGTATTAGATACAAGAGCACGTCAGTCGGTCAGCTACAACGTAGGACCAGGCACATATATGCGTCGGTCGAAGTTGCCATGCCGTATTAGCACAGTAAGATTCATAGAAGCACCTATACAGCTTTGTGTAACAATTTTTGTGAGAATTAGTGATTTTGTCCAGATATATACGATGAAGTAGAGTTTGAGTGTGTAGCCTAATGGTTGAGAGCCGGATATCTTTACCGCCAATCCACTCGTCCAACATATTTTACCCTCATAAATCTACGTTTTCCTTCAGTCAGTCAGTAACAACGTGGAACTTCGTACGTACGTACACCAGTTCGAGTTGCCATACCACATTAGCACAGAGATAAAGTTATCGATTCAAATCCCATAGTGGTAGAGGTACTAAAAGTATAAGTAGTGATAGGGAACATTAGGGTTTGATAATGTTATTTAAGGAGTATAATCCAGTGCAATAGATTTGGAAAGAAAATAAAGGACATGAAGAATTCAGAAGATTAGAGTTTGAGAGAACACAAAGAGTGGATGCACCTGCACCATTGCAAACGATTTTCAGCCATGTCATTCAAGGTCTCTAACCATCGGTTGCTATCGTCTCGCAGTCCCCAACCAGGTAATCTACACCTACCAACATGACTCAGTTCACTTGTCAGTGACTTCATGGATTTGTTCCATGTTTTGGTCTGGCCGCCCCTAGCTTTCTTCTAACCTACTCCTACACCAGAAAACATCGCACGTCGGGGCAGTCGGTGGTCGGGTATGCGTAACATATGTCCCAGCCATCTCAACTAATTAAGTTTCACTACTTCATCAATTGATTTGCCATCCTTACCTAGTACCCGTTTCCTAACAACTGAGTTACTTACTCGGTGGTCCCAGGATATACGAGCAATGTTTCGAAGACACCTATGGTCAAATACTAGTAACCTACGAATATCATCGACTCTTACCGGCCATGTCAAAAGATGTTTTCCCTTATGCTTAAAGTTAGTGTTTGCAAGAAACAGGCGGTTATCTGAGCATAGCTGCAACAGACGGTCGCCATTATGTGTCTTTTGAGCCGCGACACCATAAGATCCACCCAGGTGTCTTTCCCTTTCGCTTAGTTTACCTACTTGAGCATTAAAGTCACCAGCCGCTATTACTACATCAGAGCGCCTAGCTTTTCGGAGGTCGGAAAGCCTTCCGTAAAACTCATCTTTACATTACCTGAGCTGCAGTTGGTGGGAGAGTAGGTAGAGACGACGAAGAGGCAAGGATGAGTGTCCCTATCTGTCCGAGTCCTTACTGTTCCGTTTAGTCGGACAGCGCACAAACGACTGTCTACTTGGATCCAGTCTACAAGAGCTAGTTCTGCCCTGGGACTCAATGCTATACCTACGCCAGCGAGGCCACGGGAGCAGCATCAGGGCTTCCAGATACACGAAGCGTAAATCGAGTTGGTTTGTTACTTTGACATGGTGAGGTCAAATGAATGACACTACTGAGAACCTGTGTGCGCGTTTCGGAGGCGCAGCACACATCGATGGAGCGAGATTCTAAAATCTTAGCTAAGGAAGCCTGTTGTCCTATTTGGCACAGTGTTCGGACGTTGAAAGCTCCTACGTGTAATTTAGAGCGTAGTTTCAGGAGACCAGGAATAACGTTCCGCGTACTCGAATCGTTTGCACTAGCGGGGCGAGGTGATAAAGGTACGTGGGAAGGGTTAGTCGTGGAGATAAGAGAGTTATTAGGAGGTGTAGGAAGGATTTGAATGTGACCAACTTGGTCTCGTGTGCTGTTACGGTTATGAGGGCTGATATCACTTCCCGGCCGCCCACACCGTGGAAGGGTTCTGCTGGAGGTACCTGAAAAGGAAGTCGGATTAGTGTTGGTCTTGAAGACCTGGGAGCGTGGCCGCAGAGCCCAAGGAACAACTGCTTGAGGCCGGTCGCACACGGCCTTTCTGTGGGAGGTTTTTAATGTGTTAGGTCCGTTCTTTAAAGAGCCTTACCGCCGGAGACGGAAATCCGTGGGGTAAGGTGAGGTGTGACATTTTTAGGGTCAACCCTTTCTAACCTCTTCCTTCCTTGTGAAAAGACATCATTGCTGAAGATGCTGATTGTCAGACGGAAACACCTTACTGCTGTCACACCTCTGTACAGTCAACATACGACTTCGCCCTTAGACCTTGAGTTGTTGCTTTTAGTCGTACTATTCTCCAATCGACCTGTCCGGCATAGTAGAACCTACAGTAACATATGTTCCAGCCAATATAGCTCGGTTGGGTCATCACGATAGGCAAGCCTGACCACCACGTCAAGGCAGCAGCTACGGTTCTTAGGCTTTCTTGTCAACTTAGTGAACATACGCCAATGTGCTGTTTGGTGAGGAAGTTAGCAAACATATTGAGCTAAAATACAGAAATGTTTGTGATTAATTTCTTACCTCACTAAGATGCGAAACTACTTCGAGAGTGGTCTAAATCAGTGGTTTGGTAATAATTTGAATAGTTGGATTCACGAATTTAAAATAATTACCCTAAGAACCCCATCAACTCAAGTGAGAAGTTGAGTGGGGAAATCCTGGAGCAAATACGAAACACCATATTGACGTCTCCCGTTTTGTAACTAAATGAGAAAAAACTATCAGAGGATAGATATTTTGCGCAGACACTCCATACATTCGCATAAAAATATTATGAAACGGAAACAGTAAGCAAGCAGAAAGCGAGGAAAGGATCGTCAACTTGGATACCTAACATGCCAATCCTATGATATATGATGTTGAAATAGACAATATACAGGCGTCGGTAGTAAATTACAACCGATAAGTCTCATGGCCTATTTTTGTAAATATTCTTAAAAATAAAAGCCAACACCATGGAAACAATATAGTCCACAATAGAAAGGCAATTATCAGGGTATATTATGATAGTTTTAAAACACGATTTTACAATCCCACTTCTTAGTCAAAAATAATGTAATAGTGGAATAATAAAAGGGTTCATAAGAACTGGACATAATTAGGTAACGAAATAGACTGATATCAACAATAGCGACTACGTCTTCGGAGCAGCTAGTTAGAAATTTAAGGTGGATGACATTGGAAATGCACGCAGACGTCAGATGAACATTGAACGAGTTAACGAAACTAGTAAAAATAACATGAAAGAATGCCATCGGTTGAACTAACAACGTTCCACACTAAGGTTAAAATATTTTCGATGCTGTTAGCCCATGTAATTACAAACTATAAGCCGAACTGGTTGAACCTTATGACATTTTGAGTCACAACAATAACTTGGCATATATTTAATTCATCACTAACCGGATGCGATTTTAAATTTTCAGAACTTTTAATGAAGAGGAGTCTTGAGAAAGTTGTTGTTCACCCACTGTTAATCGTACTTACTTTATTCCTACACTACAATATCTTGAAGGTAGCCTTAGTAAAACTGTCGCATGACAAGAACTATAATAAAGAATATTTTACGACAGTTTTTCTAACATCTAGAAATTTTAATAACCTGATTTAAGAGTTTGGTAAGAGAAAAAGCTACTTACCATCATAATGTTGGAGTAGACGGTTCATTCTTAAGTCCCAAAGCTTAACTGTGCAATTCGTACTTCCCGACGCAAAGCAGTTTCCATTCGGGTGAAAGTCCAGATGTGAAGCAAAGCCGCCAGCTTCTTGGAAAGTATGTACACAACCTTGCGTCTCAGTGTCCCATAATTTAATAGTTTTATCATCTGATGAAGATATGATAAGGCGTGAGTCAGGTGAAAATCTGGCTAAATAAGATGGGCCGTGACTTACCGACAGCATCTCACCCAATTCACATGTTGGTTTAAAGAGAACAAGAACTTTTGTCTATGTAAACTCCAAACCTACAGATTAAAAAAAAAAAAATTTGGACCTACTTTTACCGACTTGTCTGATGAAGCTGTACACATCCTTGAGTCATCAGCGGACACATCAACCCATCGAACTGCTGCAGTATGTGCGCGAAAAGTGATGGACTCTCCTTTTCTAAATTTTATTAGTTTAAAACATATTTTACATGCTCGGAATCCATAATTTTACTGTCTTATCCCTAGAAGCAGTTAGTATAAGTTCACCAGTCGGTGAGAATCGAACGCAGAATATAGCGTCTTTGTGGCCACTAAACTTATATGCTCGCGTTTGTGGCTTAATGTTCCAAATCATTAAACATGCGTCCATGGAGCAAGAAGCTAATTATGAGCACTAAACAAAACGGACTTTACCTAGCTGCTTTCCAGTCGGGTTGAAGTCAACACATGTGATGGAGTCTTTGTGTCCTTTGAAATGGATTTGTAATGATGGATCTTCCTACAAGTTGCTATTCGGATGAAAATCTAAACGTACCATAGGTCACGAACAACAAACAAAATCAAAACCCCGCGTAGCTAAGGTTGGTCGTAACACAAATATTTCGGAACTCATACTAACAAAGTACAGATGTGCGTAGTAAGGACAAAAAACATACGACTTGTGTTAGTCGTTTTCTGAAAAACTTCCGTGAGTGTCCATTCTTTTCTCGAACAAGTCAACTGAAGGGGAAGACACCGCTGCTTCAAGTAACAAGTTCCAAGAATTGACGGCTCCGTGTAAAAACCTGCTTGCTTCCCAACTGATATGACCCTTGGGTTGTCCTGATCTGATAGGAAGAAAAGTAGAGGATATGTCAAATTCAAATTTGGATGATTTAAATCATTTACTAGTATTCTATAGATCAAAACCAAACCACCTTGTAGCGGTAAATAAATCCCAAAAATAAACAGCTCTGTAAGTTTTCGACATTGGATGTTGACAACTTAAGTTTTAATAGCCTTACCTAGCTGAAGGAGATCGGTCATGCATCCTCACCAAATCACGAGTGGGAACGGCGTTCTCAACTTCCCCTGCTATCGCTAGCCAGTTTAGATCAGTTGATTTTTGATTTATTGATATCCTATAAAATATATCTTCGAACCTCCTCACTTCTGCCTTTTGATTTTACTAGGTGGGCAGGATTCATGGTAGGTGTTACTGGGTAAAGCTACCGACCTGTGGTTCTTCTCTCTATACCTGCAAAGTTTATGGTGTCCCTGATATGCGGCGTATACATGACCATTTATTATATTTAAACTTCTTTTCACCCCATAGGCATGGTTTCAGGAAGGGTCATTCTTGTGTAACCAATCTGATGATTGTGGTGGATAACCACCCTTGATCGCAAGAGGGAAGTTGACGTCATTCATCTTGACTTCACAAAAGCTTTTGACAGGGTCAACCATATATGTCTTATCAATAAACTCAAACGAATGGGTATTAAATCACCTCTAATTGACTGACCCACTTCATGCCTGAAAATCGACATTTTAAGGTCATGATTAACTTCATTTTCTCTCAGTTTATGAAATGTTCTAGTGAGGTCCACAAGGGTTCGGCACTAGGACCTCTTCTTTTCTTAAGTTATATTGACTATCTTCCACAACAGGTATCATAAGACGTATTACTTTTTCCTGATTGTGTGAAAATTTGGAGAGTGACACGAAACCAAGAGGATAAACTGGCACTTCAGGAGGATCTGACTCGACTTCAAAGTTGGGCAGACGATAACGGACTTACTTCTAACACTTCAAAGTGCATAGTAGTCCATCTGAGACATGTTGTAAACTACAGTTACAACTTTGTTGACTCCCTTCTAGAAGTATCCCAAGTTTAAATAGATTTAGGTGTGCTGGTACTCCAAGACCTGAAGTCTCACGCTAACTGCAACACAAATGCCTTACAAGCAAACTTTGCACTGGCAATGTTGAGGCACATTTTCGGCCAGTTCGATGGAAGAACTTTCCGTCGGAAACAGTATTTCCCCCCTCACTCCTAAAGGATAAGGCCACGAAATCAGTTCGGGGACTCAAATTTAAAACTTATGAAGAGCTCCTCCAATCACTTAAACTTTACCCATCAGGTGAAATTCTGATGGCTACAGTATCCTTAACACTTCTGGACATCCCCTTAAACCCCCTACATAAGTTTAGTCCCAACACAAAACTCAGTGCTCTAATGTCCCTCAGCAACATTCAAAAACTGGAGACACAACAGAGCAGAACGGACTGTAGACCCACCTTCTACTCCTTAAGAGTAGTCGAGTACTGGATTTTGCTGCCGTCTGAACCAGTCCAAGCGACTTTCCAAGAGTCCTTTAAGAGGCAACTTGATCCATTCCTAAAGACTAAGGATAAAATCTTACTATGAGTTACCAATTTCATTTTTTTAATCTATTATAGTTAATATATCTAGGTTCATATCCGCAGGTATTGTTGATCCACTGTTAATAGATACGGAAGCCTGTTAAGCGAAAGCTTCTTTTATTCCTTTCACAACCATTTGAACCATTTAATTTATTATGTAAGATACCACTTTAAATTATGTTTGCAACGCTGAACTGGTTTCACTCCCTACCGGGTGATCCTATCACAAGCAAAACTTGACAATTCTCTATAAACCAAGCCTGATAATGACCCTGCGAAATCTTTAAAAATAAAGCACTCAAACACTGCTCTTATTTCATTCATACTTTATAAAGTAATTCAGAGGAGTTTGAAATTAAAAATTCCTGAGATAGCTTGGAGTTATCTTGGCAGTGATGATGATGTTAGATATACTGGTCTGTTAAGTCTCAGTACTTGGTTAGCCCGTACAGTGGTGAGGTCGATTCATTTCAAAATGTATCACACCAGATCTGTATCATGACACAGATTAGTTCGGGAATCTCTTGAACCATAACTAAATATTTTGAGTTGCCTGTATTTGCGTTATAATATTTCCATAGTTACTGCCGGACTTGCTATGATCTTTCAGATTATATTCGGATGATGAGCAGCAAGTTGTGCAGAGGTCATGTTATGACGACTAACAGCTTTATGGGGCATGCAATTTATCATTAGGGTAGAGGCGGTAGCTGATTTTGCTTCCAAATATTTTTGAACCTGATACAGGGAATATTGGTCCAATGTGGAGACTTTGTTTAACCTACAGTCACTTTTGTAGAACTGTCAGTCTTATCTCGCTACCATAGGTCTATACTTGGACAATCTAAGTCTGTTAGTATGCTCTTCATGTGAGAGGAAGATCTATGTTGAACAATATTGCCTCGAAAGTGAGGCTACTTCGGTGTCTTTTCTTTTGATCTTGGTATTCGGAACTCAAGAAAATAGAGACGGTTTCTTCATATAAGTAAGGTTGACGTATATGCCGAGGGGTTGCATTGACATTACTTAGTGTCTGCATTTGTTTCTGCGACATAAGCACAGGTACTATTCCCGTCGAAAGGTTGTGGAATCTCTTGTAGTATTCCTAGAGCGGGTTGAGATCAGACAGGAAATAAGTCTAGTCGTCCAAGTTAAACGGTTAAGAGATATCCAAGATCCTCCTTTTAAAATTAAAACATTGCATTACATTACCAAGTTTCCAAATTTTTTCTCACTACATGCATTAAGATTCAAAAACGCTAATCCAAACAATTTTAGACTGATACTGAGCTGACAAAAGTTGTTTTCATTCATTAAGATTCATAATAATTTACTCGGATAGTAAGAATAATATTATTGTCTGACGCGGTATTGTGGAATCAACTGGCATAATCTTCTCAGTAGCTAAAGTCATAAATAAAGTCATTAGTGAGTCTGCAGAATTATGGTCTACTTCGTCATTGAAACTGCTCTAACAAAAGACCTAATACTACAAGTGTAGATTTGTCATGATGTATCTGCCTAATCTATAAAATTTTACATGGAATCAAATCATTATCTACACTGACTCATCGTATCGTGACAATTACCAACATATGATGGAGAACACATTTAAGTTGTAGACAGAACAATATCTTTAATGTGAATATAAGAAAAAGGTTACCCAAGTGAGACCACGCCCACAAAGTAAAGCCATTCCACACAGTCGAACTGATCTAACGTTCCTTTGTTCTCCACAGTTAACCTCCGAATTGTGTCAGATTTTTCAATGTGTCTTTTAAGTAATTAAATGCTCGTCAACAAAAGTCGTGTGGTCAGGGTCCAATGCCACTACAAACCTTTTATAAATACAGAGTCATCATGAGATAGATCGTAAGATTAAACACATATTGAAACAAGGAAGAAAATGATAGAATACCGCCGTCAATACTATCACAACATAAGCTGTGGAAATTCAAATGTTTATTCGGAATAAATATATCAGTTTGAAACGTGTTGCTTGGAGGAAATACTGAAATTGACTGGTGCAAACAGCAATGAAGCAGGATTAACAAACGTTCTAATGTATCTTTCACAAAGCAAATCTGTACCCATGGAATTCTAGTATAATGACGGAGAAGAGTGCTTCTCAAGTAATAGAAGACCCAAATGCAGCAGAAGCCATGACCGATGATTTTGAAACGGTCCAAAATGAAAAGACTTCTTTAGATTCAGAACTAGCTCAATAGGCACTATCAGCAGAACACCATATAAATCCACCGGCGTATATGGTATCCAAACCAAAATCTTATGGAATTTACAAAATTATTTGGTTCATACATGTTGTACTCTTAAAGAGTCCCCTTGCCTAAAGAAGTGAGGTGGAAGCTTCTTATCTCGATCACTATCCGTGCTCCCATAGTAACAAAGATACGGGTGAAGGGGATGGTTAGTATCTGATAAGATATCAGCTGCCAGGAGTTCGCAATACTTTAGATGTCTATCCACAACTATATTATGACCTGAAAAGATTCACCACACACCTTGCTGACTGCCTTCAGTACTCTCCGCGATACAGCAAATTCTATTCTCAAAAGTCCGAAAAGGAATAGTAGGGAACAGTAATGAATAATAAGTGATATGGAAAATTGAAAGTGCAAATGACGAGTAATCCCAAGAGCATGCAGTCTCTTTATGTAGTAAGTCAGACGGAAGGCTTCCATTGATAGCAATAAAACACGTGAAGACCGAGAGAGATCAAGGGAAAAGATAACACCAAGATAATTGACCTTCGATACTGTGTTTATCAAAGAGTCTTTAATGGCACAAGCATTATGGGATCCCAATGTGTTGCCGTTCATGTCTCATGCTAAAGCTAACAGCTTGACATCTAGACGGATTATGTATGAGACCATTAACAACAGACCGAAATCCAATGCGAGACAAAATCTCATTTCTATGGAATGTACAGAGGTAGAACTCGGCATGCATACAGTGAGATCATCCGCATATTTCACAAGTAATAATAATAGAATAATTTTTGAGGAAAGGTGAAGTTATTGCTATGAGTATAAATTTCACATTCTTATCACCAGATACTTTCTTAGGTATAGAGATTATATTCGTCTTTCTCCACGTTTTCGGTATGAGATT